CAACACAGTACATAAAATCCGTGATTTAGTTCCATCTGTAAAAGATGCTGTTCCAGACATACAGTACCCGGGCGTTTACAAACTAAAGTGCCTCTGTGGTAGTAGCTACATTGGAGAAACCAAACGACATATCTCGGACCGCATCCGCGAACATAAAGCAGACTTGAAACACGGTAGGACGAACTCCTCTGCCGTGGCAGATCACTGTTATAATTCAGTGGGCTCACATGACATTGACTTCTCCAAGACGGAGGTTCTTTGTAAACCAACCGGCTACCATGAGAGATTCGTTCATGAGGCCATTCACATATACAAGCACAGAGACAATTTCAACCGAGAAGATGGATTCTGGCTTAGTAACCATTGGAAAGATGTTTTAAACCATTTCTGTTCTTAATTAATTGTATTTTACGATGACCTTCAGACCGCAGCTCTTTCGCCAGCATTGACTCTTAATACCTCTCACACCACGGTTAATGGTATGGTTTACAACATGGAGTATAATAGCGCCTCGCAGCTGTCTCTCTCCCCCTCCTCTGTTCCGACCATGGATGAACTCGTCCGTCTGAACAGGGCCCGTAGCTATCCGTAGTGCTAAAGTTGAGGGTAAGAATCTACCTATTTTTTCGCCATATAGCATTGTAATATATAACGAGTTATTGTTGGTAGCTTAGCTGATTGGAGAATATAGAGTTTATTGATAACATTAAGGTAATTTATATTTTAGTTTTTTATTGGTTAACTATATAGTACTGTGAATAGCTCAGATGTGTAGGCCTTGACTTCAACATAGTAATTTCTGTGACCAGTCACTAGCTAATCACTCAGTTATTTCAATGCTAAATTCGCCTAGTTATTTCAATGCTAAATTCTTCTGTTGATTTGTACTAAGTGCCTCGGTGAATGTATATGCTCTGACTTTAACGTAGCTATTTCTGTGACCAGTTACAAGCTAATCACTCAGCTATTTCAATGCTAAATTCTATGCTAATTCCTTTGTCAAGGGGTGCCTCTGTGGATGTGTATGCTTTAACTTAGCTATTTCAATGCTAAATTCTATGCTAATTTCTTTGTCAAGGGGTGCCTCTGCGGATGTGTATGCTTTAACTTTTAACATAGCTATTTCTGTGACCAGTCACAAGCTAATCACTCAGCCATTTCAATGCTAAATTATATGCTAATTCCTTTGTCAAGGCGCTTTGTTTCCTCTCACACAGCTTAAAGGTCGTAATCTGAACGTGGCTCTTTCACTCCAGCGCTGTCCTACCAGACAGTCTCGTCCCTTCACCTGATGAAGGCTGCTTGTGTTGTGGCCGAAACGTCGTGAGAATATTATTGTGTTATTTTATTTTATCAATTTATTATTTTATTCTCATTCTACGTGACTTTACCGAAAGAACCAAAGAAGTATGACCTCCTGTTACCATGTTTCCGTTCACTCTTACGGGTTGTAAATTGACAGAAAAATAAATATTATTTTCCACCCCTTATCTTAATCTCGTATCCCTTTTTGCGGTTTTGACTCTTTAAGCGACTCAAGGTATATTTTTAAGATCCGTGGCTCCTGCTGTTTGTGTTTACAGTACTTCAGTCGTGGTTTGGAATTTCTTCTTGGTGTTTGATATCTCAAGGGGAGGCGCCCTCCCTGCATGTGTCATTTATTGCTACCACGTGCTTCTGGAAGACAAAGGCGGTTGGGAGGCTCTGATTCTATGGAATACATATTATCTTGGTCATGTGTGATTTATCTGTTTCACATTTTATTTATTCTGGATGACCCTCGGTCTAATACTTCATAATTATTATTTGGCTTATGTTTGACCAAGATTTGTGATCTACCATGGTTGTTACCACAGGTATTCGAAGGGTTTAATTAACTTATTCTCCGTCTGTGTCACCAGGGATCCGTGCTGCTTATTCTCGAGTTATATTTTGATATCCTGAGGTTGGAGATATAACTAAGTTTGACTTTCATGACTGCTGGAATTCATTCTTTGGTTCTTTTGGTAAAGTCGCATAGATAGAAGAAAAGTAATTTTAAAAGGTGAATAATATTAAAATAATTTACGATAAATAATAACCCAATAATGTAGATTGTAGCCTGGTTCTTAAAACTGAGTGCAGTCTATAATGTCGACTTATTCTTATAGCCAAGCTTCGAACTTTTACCGTTGTACTAAGAGAAACCAAAACAAAACAGTTGTCTGTTCAATCACCCCTCCTGTTCTCGCCATCCGGGAAGATCCGTGGCCCTTGCCGTTTGTAAGTGCTTTGTGGCGGCCTTAGAAGCCCGGTAGAGGCAGGAGGCAAAGGGGGGGGGGGGGAGGGAACCCCTTTTTGCGCCCCCGCGCTACACCCCGATCAATTATTACAACAAAAATAGGCAGCATCATTCTTAATATATTTTTTTTGAAAAAGCCCTATATATACATTTGCATCGTGCGTTTTTGGATGCCCTTCTGTGTCCATCTGGAACACCTTTCCTTCTGATATGAGGAAGTCACTGGCGCTATGCACTTTTACATCCAGATTGAAATCCCACTTCCTTCAAACTACTTTTTGTATTTGGTTTGTTGCCCTTCCATCGTATCTTCGATAAGAGCGGTGGTTATGTATGGTGCAAATGAACTTCAATGTACAAATATTGTTAGATTCGTGAAATTGTTTAATGTGGAATCAATGATACAAGTGTTATAATGCCGTTGTATACACACAGAGGCCCATATACTCACACACAGACCATACATTCACACAGAGACACAAACTCACACAGAGAATCGCAGACTCAATGCATCTGTAATAATCGTTTTTATATTCCAACCACATGTTGTATACGGGCCCCTTTTTCCATCTTTAATATCAATAATAATATTTGCCGATATATATTTTTACCGAAATAATGAATGAAAAACACAAACCCAGTCCCACAGCAAACAGCATGTGGAGGTCATGGAAGGGCCATTGAATTGAAATTAAATAAAGAATAACTCCCAGGGCGCAGGAAAGGTTAACGACGTCTATGGAATTTCCAGATATCCACGGTAGGACAGTGACAAAGTATGTTTTCTCTCTCTCAAGAGTCAGCCAGAGAGAAAGAGACCCCGGCCGCCTTTGTCTTCCCGCAGCACGAGAAAGGAATTTGACCCCTAGCGAGGAATTGCTTGTGGTTGCAGGGAGGGGGCCATCTGTGACCCACGGGTGAAGGGATGCCTTGGGGAGGGTACGGTGGAATGGGGGGGGACCAGGATGGTTTAATGGAATGACACACACACGAACGCACACACACACACACAGGCCACGCCCTCCATGGTGCAGAGCGGAGATGTTTTTTTGAATATAACGGATCAACCATCATTTCAAAAGTTCAGTTCAAACAAGGCACAGCGAGTTGAACAGGTCGTCAGCTCAGGAGCTGCAGAGCAGGGGGCACGAGCGGCTGGCTCAAACGAGCCCTGCGATCAACTGAGAATGGCGAGCCTCGCCAAGTAACAATGTATCAACGTGAGTGAGATTCAGAGCTGAAAGGCAAAGTATCGCTTAAAGACCTTTATTTCTACATCGAGTGCCGGCTCTACATCAAGTCCAGCTGCAGCGTGACCGACGCACCAAGCAAGAGCTTCTGCAACCAGCGGCCAAGCGTGTGCCGACTTGAGTCATCCAGTAGTGGAGAGAACCTGCTGTCAGTGAACCAGATAGAGCGCGTTCGAAAGCCTCCACAGAGAAAAGCGCGTGCGGCAGCTACTACAGCAGTGGAGAGAACCTGCTGTCAACGAACCAGTGAAGAGTGCGTGCGACTTGAGTCATCCAGCAGTGGAGAGAACCTGCTATCAGCGAACCAGAGAGAGCGTGTTCGAATGCCTCCACAGAGAGAGCCCACAAGTGGCGCAGCTATTACAGCAGTGGAGAAAACCTGCTGTCAGAGAACCAGCGAAGAGCACGTTCGAGCTCTCCACACAGAGAGAGCGTGCAGCGCAGTCCTCCAGCAGCGTAGAGAGCCTGGCCAGCCACCCGTGAACAAAGCTGCAACAGTGAGCGCCATCTACCGACGAAATACCGCGACTACAGCACCGTGTCAACCCGTCAATCTGCAGCAGCACTGAGAGCGTTCGAGCAGCACCAAGAGAGGGCCGTGCCGGCGAGCTCATCCCCCAGCGGCGTGAGAAACGCCGAGCGAGTTCAACCAACCATCGGTCGTATATCCTCCCCCCACCACACGACAAACCTGGCGTCTGCTTGACGCAAATAATTAATTAATTGGCAAAGAAGACACACAACACACATATCGGGATAAATAAGGTTGTTCCAAAAAGTTATCTTTGGGTTTCAAGAAGAGTTGCCATTCCAAGGTGATGCATTAAATATCAACTGATCCGTGATAAGAATTGAATTGAAGGTCTATGAATGAATGCGGTACTGTGTGGGCAATTTTCAAGTATAAGAATTTGTATATTATAAAGTTAAGATTTTTGTTAGTATAGCGTATACATGTTTTTTTTGCTTCTCTCTCTCTCTCTCACCAACTGGGCTCGCGTTACGCGGGGGAAGGAATCAATGTGCTGTTATCAAAGTGAAACAACGCAGTCGTGATACTGTGTTGATACTTTGTTGGAATTCCAAGCCGAGAGTTGCATCTTTTAGAGTTAAGGTTTAGTAAAAAAAAAGATTAATGCATAAGTTGTTGTGTGTTCTTTCCTGAAATTTATGCATAACTGTATTCTGCATTGAGGTATGAATCTGGAGACCTGGCATAAATACACTAATCCATACTCAATAAATGTTAAAGCGATAATAATTGTATCATACTGATCGATAATACGAAGTTAACAGCGAAGCCGAGTTTAATCTGACATGCTCTCAGCACCTGCATAACTTCATACGATTAATTGCATTATTCCGATTGATAGCCGACCCTCGTCAACGAGGCGGGGCCTAATTGTCATAACGGCTGGCATTAGCATAATCGCACACACTCGCATAAATTACTACGATTATATCTCAAATTAGCATAATTTATGCGCATAATTACATCAAATAACATTTCGGATAATTATGTAAATTTCAAATTTAATTTAATTTGTATTATTTTCATCAAAATTTTCATAACCTACATATACAACACACTAGATGCTGTTGCATTCACCACCAGGAATAAAGACAGTAAATTGATTTTATAGAGTACAGAATCATTGTACCCCTATCCATTACACCGCTACTATATAAACACATTCCATTTAACGATTGCTCAACATTGCACCCCGACAGTATAAACACAATCCACTAGCAGGGTGAATACATTGATGTTGGCTTCACACCCACAGTGGTAGTTATTTTATCACCCCTAAAAGGTTGTGAGGAATTACACGCACCAACGTTCTAATCGAAGCAATGCACTCCAAACCACTGTGCCCACCAACTAGTTACAGATGTAGCACTGCGTGTAACAGTGATTATGGTGTGATTGTCGTGTGTTGTATCAGATCTCTACAGTGTTCACATTCATCTTTCTCAGGATTCACGACTCAGATCCACAATCGTCACTGAGTCACCAACTTTACCCCACAGGTACAGCCCAGGATACAGGGGTTGAGTGAAGGTTTGGTAAAATGAGTGTAACAGCACCATGGAGTCGATGCTGTAAAACGACAAGAGTCCCACGTCCCAATCCAAATGAACCCCGACTCTCTGTGGAGGCTCTGGCACTGACAGTAAGGTCTCTACCCCGCCATGCCACACTGATAAGCTGTTGTTATATTTCTGTAGACTCCAGGAGACATCACTCCCTCCCAGGAGGTACTCAGGACCACTTCCTCTCTGTGGGATTGTCCCGTATGCGACTGCAATCCGACACAACCACGCACTGCTCCCCACGTCCACCTCCCAGTAGTGCTGACCCGACGAGAAGCTCTCGGAGCACAGAGCTTGTTGATAGACTTCAAACCTTTGTGGGTGATGGGGGCGACCCTGGGAGACACCGCTCCATGTCACCGTCCTGAGATCAGAGGAAATCTGGAGTTCGTTGTGGGCTGAGTTTGTGTCTAGAGTTGGTTAGCATCCATTTGTGGTAATGACAGTGACGACACTTGCATGCAGTCACAACAATGTGTGTACGATAGCAACACAAGCATTACAAGTACCGTGTTCAAATGCACATTGTGTCCTGTATAATCATTTATATTATAGTAATAATGCAATAATTGAAATAGGGAATAAATGCGCAAAGATCATAAAATTTATGGCAATATGCATACTGGTATGTGCACTCAAATACTAATGCATACTAGTATATGTATAGAGGATTAGTAAGGAGACATGACGTCATACGCGCGGTGAGGTGCGAGGACGTCATGTCACCTGAGGGTACTTGAGGGGGGCCTCGTGACGAAAGGGGTCGTTGTGGGAGCCCGGGATAGAGAGGGGTTGAACAGATAGCCAGTAGTAAGGTTGGGAGAAGTCTGCACGAGCCAGCTAGGGTTAGGTGGGGCGCTGCTCTCCTCGGTCGGGCGGTGTTCGTTAAGCCCCCATCCCAACTCGAGTGAGAGAGCCAGAGATAGCTGGGCTAGCGGCAGAGAGAGCCAGAGATAGCTGAGCTAGCAGCAGAGAGAGCCAGAGATAGCTGAGCTAGCAGCAGAGAGAGCCAGAGATAGCTGGGCTAGCGGCAAAGAGAGCCAGAGATAGCTGAGCTAGCAGCAGAGAGAGCCAGAGATAGCTGGGCTAGCAGCAGATAGAAACCGAGGTCCCCGTGAAGGACCCAGTGTAGGGGCATCTACCTCTGGTGCAGTTATTGCTTCCTTCTGTTAATAAACCGGTGGAAGCCCTTACCTGGAAACCTGCCTCCGAGTCGTCGTTCACCACACAACATATGTATACGAATAAACTCTGCCTCGTGGGTCCCTAATCCACTGGATATCTGAGCCTGTCCCAAGCCTGGATTAAAAGGAGGGTCAGGCAAAAGGGTGCTGATACTTCAGCCATGAAGAAAAAGATTAAAGTAATCCAATGCACACGACGACCACATAAGAAGGATACCGGCTCAGACGTCACCCGGGTCAACAATGTCCGCATCCTTGTTCACATCGGCAATAAAGGATAATCAGGCATGGCTGGAAAAGTAATTTAGCCAAAGTGAATCCTACGCTGGAGAATACAAGACCAGGGATGTCTACAATCTAATGAAGAGCACAGATAGGACATGGCAACCAAGGCAAACAGCGATAAAAGCCAAGGACGGTAACATCCTGATGGACAAACAAGATACAAAAAATAGATGGAATGAGTATTGCAGTGATCTGAATATGGATACAGAACAAGATAATAAAGAGCTTCTGGATGAACTAGAAAGGATATCCCCACCACTAAGGAATGACGAAAATTATAACATCTTGTACAAAGAAGAAGAAAAGGCAATACAACATTAAGAAAAGCAAAAGTCCAGGAGTGGAAGGCATAAGAGGAGAAACCATAAAAGCTGGAGGTAAGGAACTTATGAAAGACATCCATGATCTGTACAAGCAAATATGGAGAGAAGGCAATATACTGGAGCAATGTACAAAATCCATATTTGTGGCGATACCCAGGAAATGAGACCTTACCAATTGTAGAAATTGCAGAACCATTGCACTAATGTGCCACATGGGGAAGATACTAATGATGCTCCTATTTACTTAATTAAAGGCACACACTGAGGACTATTTGGTGGATGAATATGCAGAGTTTAGGATAGATATGAACACAGTAAGCAAATCTTGATGTTACGGCTCATGCCAGCGAACGCAAAGAGAAAGAATAGGCTGGTTTATAATTGTGTAATCGATTTCCAGAAAGCATTCGATTCGACTAAGTAAGATATAACATGGGCAAAATTAACATCAAATGGAGTAAGGAAAATACTTACAGATTATGCAGAATATAGTTGAAAGGTCAAAGACAGTAATAAAGTTTGGACTTAACATAGGGGAATTGTTCCTAATAACAATAGGTATGAGACAGGGAGAGCCACTATCACCAAACGACTTCATTACATACTTGGAAGGAGTGATCGATGCCACTCAGGACAACAGCACAGGAATATATGTGCAAGGAGAAAGAATAAATAACCTGAGATTCGCAGACGTCATAGATTTGATGGTAGAAAGCTGCGTAGCACTGCAGGATAGGGTTCATACACTGAATAGGTCAGAAAAGGATTCAGGACTGAGGATTAATGTGGAAAAGATAAAGACGAAGGTGTTCGGAGGGGACGATGTTGAGAAAGAAGTAATAATAGAAAACAATTAAGATTGTGAATGTAAAGGAATCGGTATACTTGAGAAGTTTGCTGACATGGGACGACTGCACAAAAGACAAGATCGAGGATCGCAAAGGCAAAATAAGTAATGGCAGAATTCTATAACACCTGGAGAAGCAAGAAAATCAGCTACAAAACCAAACTGAACATTTTCAGAACATGCGTGTCCAGTCCAACTTTCTACACCTGCGAGACTTGGAAACTCTAAAAATATTGACAGATATAAGATATAGACACTTCAAATGTATTGCTACAGAAGGATACTTCATCAAAGCTCGACTCAGAGAGTGACCAATGTAGAAGAAAAAGGTTGGACATACAAGAATACCTGATGCAAACAGTGATGAGAAGGAAACTGGCACTATTTGGACACATATGTAGGATGGACAACAGGAAAATTCTAAGTGTGTTCTGAAAAATGATAGAAACAGGGGAAGAGCTACGAGAGAATGGCTTGACGACGGTGTTATAAAATATACGAAATGGGCAGTGGACACCTACTAAAATATCTGCCCATGGAGCATTATGATGATGATGCACACATATATTACCGAATACTAGTATGTGTACACAAATACTAATGCCGACTAGTGCAATAGGTTACTTGTGTGGGGGTCATGTTCATCTAAATTCTAACTAAGCATCCACTTTCCTCAAGCAACTTCGTACCCACTACAAAACGCGTGGTCATCAGTGTCTAAATGAGCGTGACAGGACTGGAACGTGCTCCATTCATGGCTTGCAAATTCGCCCTTTTGCTCTCAAGAAACATATTTTCACATTGTTGTTTGCAACTCTTGATGAATGAGACCGTTCGTGTTATTGACTATTTTTTGTACAGCACCTTTGTACCTGTTTCATGAACTGAACCTATGCAGGTCCCCCTTGCAAAAGGGACACGCTACATTAATGTACTCAAGCCTGGGGAAAATAAAGGATGCCCTGCACACGAGTAGGATTTGTTGGCAATCCAGTGTCTGTAATGGAGTCTAACGAAGGTCAATGTGGTAGAGGTACATACCGAGAAAAGGCAGAAGTTTCGATTGGACGCCTCCCACTGAGATGGCTTTTGCGAGGTTCAGACAGCTGGAGATGGGGGCTGGGTCATCCTGAGACCCCTGAGAGACTGAGCTCCTGTACTCACAGCAGGGACACCACAGAGTTTGAAGGTCTATTTCTCTACAAAGACAAATATCCCCAGTATAGCCTTAAACCGACTGTTGGGGCAAGTGCTTTAGAGAGCACCTATGAAAGCTGGTACGGTACACAAGAGATGGGTGGGCCATCACCATGCCCTGTCCGCCTTTGTCTCCGTGGTGGCGATGTTTACACAATATACCAGGTGCTAACTGGAGGCTGAGTCGATCCTAGGGGAGACCCAGAACGGGTTCAGATAATAGAATTGTCACTAGTGTTGGCCGCGAGCGGGAATCCAACTCAGGTCGCACAGCACGGGACACATAGAGTCCAATGAGGGTCCATGTCTCTCCACTCAACAAGAGGCAGACTGTAATGAGGGTCCGTGTCTCTACACACACAGCACGAAACACACAAAGTCTAATTAGGAGTCCGTGTCCTTCTACACACGCAACACGAGGCACACGGAGTCTGATGAGGGTTCCGTATCTCTGATGAGGTTCCTTAAGGAGTCAGGGTCGTTCTTTACCTTCCCTCCTTCAGACAGCTCGCTCTGGCTCCACAGCACCGAAACTGCGATTATTGAACATGGAGTCTTGGCTGCTTAAGAAGTCTCACTAAAAGTCCTCAATAACTGTCCGTTTCTGAACCAAACAATTGGATTAGCAATCATTGTGGAGTCATTCACTTCGTGGCCATGGGTTAATATTTTCAGTCTGGATTTGATTCGGTAAATGGTAATGACACAATGTATTTATGGTATGAATTTGATCTGGATGATTGACAGTTAATTAAGATATTAACTAATTACCTTTGCTTCAAAAGGTAACAAATATAATATACAGGGTATCCCCGATATACGTCGGGGCTCGGGACTGAAAAGTTTCGACTTATAACGAAACGATGTATCACGATAATTTTTCCCCCAGAGGAATACATGCAAATGGGGGAAGGGAGGGTAAGGACCTATGCGATGCAGAGCAATTTCTCCCATAAAAAAAAACAATGGAATATGGTAGGGAAAGGATCATAACTTAGGGAAACGTCTTCTTTGGTTCTTTCGGTAAAGTCACGTAGAATTTATTATTTTATTCTCATTCTACGTGACTTTACCGAAAGAACCAAAGAAGATGAATCCTTGCAGTCACGAAAGCTTTAAATCGAAATTTAGGGAAACGTGTTTTGTAACTAGCAACTAAAATTCCTACATTACATGGGACAAATCCAGGTACTGTGCATGTACTGTACATGTACTATACCGCACAACACAATGTACACATTTCTAACCAATTATGAGTTCAAGAACCTTTAAACATCATTTACACTTATCAAACATTTAATTGAAAACCATTTAACGAGCATTGTGAAGCAGCCCTGTACTACTTCAAAGCATTTTCCTTTTTTAGGTAGAAAACGTACGTGAAATGTTCAACCAATGACTCAAACAAAAAAAAACAAATAGTGCAAAAGAGCACAGAATCTTAAACAGCATTTAAAAAACAAAGATTTACCTTAAACTATAATTTTAAAGATCTTACTTTGAGGAGTGGATGAATTGTGCGACGATATTTTGCGAAAGTCCACGCCGATTACAATGAGCACATCGCAGCGCACGCGAGAG